TCGAGTGTTTTTCAACTCCCACCGTGTTTATATCAGAGGAAAGAGACACAAGCGGCCGTTTTATATTTCTTTCATAAAATTTTTCGAGCGAAAAGAAAATTTTGTAAGCCATGTCTCTGTCCTCTGATATAAACACGGTCGTCAGCCAATCAGAGCGCGCGTTATATATCGAAAATTTCATGATAACTATTTATCTAAATTGTAGCTAAGAAAACACTAAGCGAAATTTGTTGTCATTGGCCTGAACGTAAAAACTTTGTTTGCAAATACGAGACCGGAGAATGGTTGGGTAAAGTAGTCTTAACTTGAGATGCGTTAGTAGTGATGTTAGAAGAATGACACACCCAGGATAACGACCCTTAGTTAGTCGTGAACAACTACACATATAAAGCTTTCAACGTTTCATCAAATTTCGGTAATAAGCATAAGTACCCAGGGCGTATTGATGAGAATGGTCCACAGAAGGCCAGATCATGCTTGCCTTCTTTTTGTTGTTGTAGTCAGTGTTTTGACATCAATGTGTTCTGTTTACAAATAATTAATTTAGTTGGCAACCCTGATGGTGAGCCGTACTGGAACCGAACAGCGCATCGACATTATCCTAGGCCGTTAATGCGGGATCAAGACAAATTTGGAGCCACCGGGTAGCGTTCTTTCTAATTCTCTGCAGGAATCTTCATATACATCTTTAGTCCAAAGATTTTTTTAACAGGAATCAACTTCGCTCGTGTTGGCTGATTAGTTTTTGATTTCTCACGATTGGTGTCATTTGAGCCAAGTGCCAGCCAGGTATAGAAAGAGAGATAATCTAACTCAGTTTTAACTCGGAGATTACGTTAGCAATAGAAGCGTTATTGTAGTGGGACCGATCTGTCACCCACTCACTCACTCACTCACTCATTTTCCTGTAGACAGCCCTTGTTACTCTATAATCACCATATACATACTTATACCAAGTTATAGCAAGTTCTAATATAGCTACTTCTTGCGTTGTAGCAATATTGATTCAAACTGAAGAATGGATCTGTCCTTGATTCTATGCATAACAAGAACCACTTCATTGAACACACCGTGTCCAGGTTGCTTAGTAAATAAACTCCTTCTGGCGGCTGGGATATCGGCTGATAATGTCCGAGGATCAGAATGTCCAATTAATGAACATTTGGCCAAGAAGGGGTTTCTTTATTTTATATCCCAACGAATTCATTTTATTGTGTTGAGGAAGAAAAGCCATCAAAGTGCAAGGTAAAATCATCTACACATGATGTGATTGGTTCACAGTAATTTTTTCGTTATTTCATTGATTAAAATCATTTGAAAAGTGTTGACAAGGCGACAAAAGTCTCTACTGAAGTAAAAACTACAAATGTATTGCTGCGTTTAATTATAGTTTACAACATGAGCGGCCGTGTTGTATGGGAATTACAATCTCGAGCCGCAGGCGAGAGATTGTAATTCCCATACAACACGGACGCGAATGTTGTAAACGACTTATAAAACTCCAACACAAATTAACATGAATTACAGTGAGATAAATGACGAAAAATGACAGATAAGGTAACTGCTGAGTTTAGTCCCTATTAAGCATGCGCAATTTACTGCAACACAGAATATTTTGAATAATTATCCATCCCACATGGAAAGCAAGCCATCTGTTGCATAAGCGAGTTCTGTTATCCGTCTTTGATTGCTTCAAAACCTAGTGAAGGTCTATGATGCGACACTAAAACTGAGACCATTGCTAGTGTTGGGTTGTCTCAATGGTGACGACCGTGTTGTAAATCTGATACAACCACTAGTGGTTGTATCAGATTTACAAGGTCAATCACCTGATTAAATGGTCAGCCCTTATTGGAGCAATAGCTTATGCATTATTAATAAGTTTTATAACGTAAGTTACAAGTCTTTTTAGACAGAAAACCTCAAAAATGAGTGCCTTTAGTTCTTTTGCTTTGAGTTGAAGTAAAAATGATAGCCATTAGACATAGAACTTGCTAAATTAAGAGACACAGAACGAACTAGCGAGTGAAAGTGTTTGTAAACAAACCGGTATTTTAGTGCCTAGTAAGTTTCTTAACTTATTTGTATTTCCAGATGTCGTTTTGTCAACTTGTTTTTTATTCTCATCATCAGAGCTCTTTAAAAAGCGGTTTTAATCACTTTCCATAGCTTTTTCTTGTCAAAAACAAATCTGAAAACTTACGCGGACAAATATCACCTTCGGACGGGGGATATCGCTTGATACCCGTTCGCCGAAAATGTGCCACGTGACGCCTTTGGACCAATGGATGCGCGTGAAAATATATTGTTGGGATATAAGCTATAATATATACTTTTACCAGTGCCGCGATCGATTTGATAGATTTTGCGTATGATCTTATTAATTTAACAAACGCGCCTTGTAAATAGTAATAAAACAAATTGCTACGATAAAAATCTAACATGACTAGAACATTAAATTTAGTTAAAAAAGAAAGAAAGAATAAAAAAAAATTCAGACGTGCTCCAGTCGAGGATCGAACTTTGGAACTCTGGATTATCGGTCCCTTGGGATTGCAAAACTGCGACGTGCAAAAAATAAATTAAAAAAATAAAATAAAATAAAGTCGCTGCATTTTATAACTGTGCCGCAGCCCTTTRGCCTGGACACGGCAATTATRATTACTTATAACTTACTGGATTTTCTGTCATATATGATCATAAACCCTCCYCCGCCTATGCCAGCTGAGTGGGGGTTCAGAACACCAACGCATAGTCCTGTTGCCACGGCAGCATCGACAGCATGTCCACCCTTTTTGAGAATCTTTGCGCCCACCTCCGAACACAATTTATGATCAGCGGCAACTGCAGCTTTCTCGAATTTCTTGGGTTCTGGAGGGGGTCCTAAAGGTTCACTGGAAGTGAAAAAGATATTCAGTAATGAATATATGAATGTAAGCATRCGCTTTTGTTACATACTTCCAACTCTAGCTTTCTCTTCTTGTTATCAGGCTGCAGTCAACTTCATTAATTTAATCATATTAATCATTTGCTTTTTAGTTTTTAGCTTTCTTTGCTGAATCAATACCATATATGGAAATAAACAAGATGCCCGATTGCCATAACATCTGTAAGTTTCAGAGGATTTTCCAGATGAACATCTCAATAAGGAAAGATTACCATATATTGGTGCTAAGAGAATACTACAAATCTTTGATATGTATAAGGTATATAATTTATTAGTAAGCTATTATTTAAGCGACTTCTGAGATTTTGCATATTTCTAGATCTCGTCTAAAATTTGTATAAATGAGCATTCATTTGGGCACCAAAAACCATCACACAAATAAAAGTCATGATTTCAAATGCTTCAACTGCATGGCTACTTGGACGAAAATTACGAAACATTGGAAAAGACTTGGAAATCAAATAGACCTATCCATATGGGTCTAAAAATCATGAAGAAACAGATTTCAAGAAGATATTGATACAAATCCCCAATAATTTGAGAAACAAAGGTTGGAGTAAATGACGTCATTTACTCCATCCTTTTGTTCTTCCATCTTTTGAATCAAAATTTCTCTGATGTGGGATAATTCCAAAACAAATGTTTTCCCACAATTGTTTTTAATAGATATAAATGAGTCATATATTTGTATTGCTTGAAGTTTTGAAATAAGGGAATTTTCATACAAGTAGCACTTTAAAACACACTATGATTGAAGAGGAACACGACGAAGATGAATTTTATTATTCAGATGAAACATAGGCCACCCAACTATTGCTTGAGAGAAGGAAAGGAACGAATACGCACGTTTTTAATTTACGATAGTACTGTTATCGGCGCGCGCTCAAAATGCGGGTTACCTGTGGTATCACGTCAGTGATCCCTTGCTTCGTGGGATCAAAAACTAGTCTGTGTCAAGGTATGAAACACCGGTCACGTGACAAATATAATTTTGCTCCTATTTTKCCGAAAAACAACAGAAAATGACGATTTTCTTCCAAATAACAACACAACGTCAGATTTCCTACCTACTTAAATATTTTCAGTGTCGAGAACTAGCGTGAMGAAAAAATTAACATTAAGCATTTTACTCGCCGTGGACCGATGTGTGCTCYAGCATGCGTACCTATCCCTCCCTATTGTTGTTTTCCGTATAGACTTCGATACCTTTCGGAAACTGTCGTTCCTCGAGATGAAAATAAAAAGTCAAGGATAAATTAACTTTCTTCAAAAAAGGAAAAGAAGACACATTGGCAAAATGTACACCAGTTACCAACTGAAAAGCTTTATTACAATTTCAAAGTACAAATATAGAGCACACAAAGTTGACATGTAATTTTGACGCGGTTGYTCGAGTGCATACAATTCGTTTACCAGAAAGCTTTTTCGAGTTTTAAAGCATCTAAAATTACTAAACGACATTTTTGATTATCAAAACAGACGAATTCTTCCTCGTRAATCAGTTAAATAGTTAAACCAAGCGGTCATATCAAACTTAATGGTGACAAAAAGTCCGTGATCATTTAAGCGTAACCTGACAGTCCGTATGAAGTGTCAAATCACTGGAAAAAATCGCGCGCTTTAAAGGTTGAAAATTTGATGTAAATATAATGTAAKTGTCCAAAATTCTGTAAATTTAATGGAAATCATTTACATCAAATTTACAGAATTTTRGRCAMTWACATCATATTTACATCAAATTTACAACCTTTAAAGCGCGCGATTTTTTCCAGTGAATTCGACGAAAAGAGACCAGATTTCAAGACTTTTTGAAGAAATGCAATGATATTAAAGAAAATCCTAAAAACCTACCATCGAATCTAAGAAATAAGATATATATGTGACCTTTCTGTGTATTCTTCGTGAGAAAATKTGAAARTTTGAAAAAAAGTATGTATTTTCGCCTTTGAAGAATTTCAGTTGAGCATCAAATAGCCAGGAGATAACAGGTAGCCCAAGCTAGGCATTTGTGTACTTTTTAGAAATATTTAAAATATAACAAAAATAAGCATCTCTACCTGTGTATTGTGTTTTTCTTTACATTTCTGTGAAGTTTCAGGCCATTTCTTTCAATTTTGAGCGATTTATGGCTGTGGTTTTGACTATGGCTTATGCAGGCTATTGAAGTAAAAGCTATTGTTGAAGAGTCCCAGGGTTTCGGAGAGCAAAATCCGAGATATTTTTTTAAAGCTTTTTGCTTTTCTAATGACCGGTCTTTTTCGGCCACTTCATTTATAACATATCAAAAGATCTAATCTAAGAAACTAAACTGAAACTGTTTTATTGCTCTTTCTTTGCCGCTTTTAACTTGACAGAAAAAAGGGGCTTGTAATAAAAAAGATAAATAAGTTTAGAAAATAGGCAAATTTTTTTAGAGTTCTAGTTAGCACCCTGTTATTTAGTGTTGCATTGGTAATTGCAGGTAAGGAGAAAAGCAATAAAACATAAGGAAAAAAAAATATACAATTACTTACTTACAAAATAATTATTTAATTTACACAATATTTACGCAAATGTCACCCGATGTATGGCAATAAGTTTGATATGTAAAACTTAAAGCTTACTGCTCACTCGAGTTCACCGTTTTGGTGACAAATCCCAAACTTTGCCGTCGGTTTTATACACTAACAAAAAATATATATTGTGCCTGGCTAAAACTATTTTTCATCGGAAAAACCTCGAGCGTTGCGACTGTTTACGAAAGGTCTCGACGTCTAGACGAAAAAAAAAAAACGATAGGGAGGGATAGATCATGTGACCAGTGTTTCATACCTTGTCACAGACTAGCCATATAATCTAACCTCGTCCGCTCGGTCATTACAGGGAAATCTCAGATCTCGTCCTTTTTTGTATGCGCTCGGTCCGYACTGTCAAGAACTCGATGGAAACAACCATGAAAACCCTTCTATTTGTTCATTCATTTATACGTAAGAGTGCAATAAGAGCGGCTACAAATAAAAAATTGGAAAACATCTATGCATACCTGAATAGAACCCCATAAAAATATATTTAAAAGATTGAAGATCTATTAAGCTCTATAAACAACTGTTTTATCAGTAAAAAAATTACCATGACTTAATCAAAACTTTGACAGAAAATCACAGTCTAAGCTCATCTTGTTGTCTTTACCATTCAGTATTCGGGTCAGGCATTCGGGTCAGGCATTCGGGTCTCTCGCTAACCTAAAACAAGTCCTTGAGATCTGAGGTCTTTTCATCCTGGTCAATCGAAGAATTTAGACTGCACTCTACTAAACTGACACCAAGTAATTCACACACCAAAAAAAGTGTTCAAAGTCAAGAAAAAAAGACGTGTGCTCTTACAGTCAAAAGACATGAAGCGCTCCACCCGAATAGTTCGTTATTCAATGCATTATTGGATTTTCATTTTATTTTTCGCATTCAAACTTCAGTTGATTAATGCAAAATTAATTTCAAATCTCGAACTCTGATAATGACAGAAAACARCACAGCATTTCCAGCTTTTTGAGACCGTCATTCCTTTCTCACGAGAAGACACAGATCCAACCAAATTAACCGACAGCATATTGCCATGATGAATCGACTTGTGGAAATTACAAAAGACCAGCATGTTTACGAGCGAAATATACGAAGAAGGCTTTATGAAAATCCGATCAATAATCCAATCAAATTTCGAAGTTTGAATTCAAATTTGATTTCAATAATGTAATGTTGAATTGACCAAGAATAGAGGTGTTTTGAGGGGGCGCGCTTCATGTCTTTTGACTGTAAGCCGATGACGTCAGGCAGGATGACCGCTGGTCATTTCTGAATGCAAGAAAATTATGGGGAGTAAAGATTTTCGCCAAATAAAACTTCAACTAAATCCTCACTTCCTTCAACAAATAGTAGTAAATGTCTACATTCTGTCTTCCTTTATAAATCTATTTTCAAACAATATCAAAATAATTTCATAGGACTAGCTATCTAACTATCATGCAAAGAACGCCACAGCTCTTTGTTAAAAATATCTCACCGTAAAAATGTAAAACTCTTGATTGAGTTTATGAACAAGTTTTAATGATGACTGAAAATTGACTCAATAAAATAATTTATTAGGGAAAGATTTTTTGTGAGATATTGTGTATTTGTTCATGTAATGAAAGTAAACACAGAAAATAAGCAACATATCACTATAGAAAAAGTGAATTACAATGTAATTGTTTACARCCATTATATCTTAACTAACTACAAAATTAATTTAATTTGCAGCTGTGGTGGTTGGTTCAGTTCTCAATGTCAGAAATTATGTACGAGACATTCCTATTAACGCAACATTACGCACGAACATTCTTCAATCAATTTGTGTTCATGTTTTTTCATCATAGAGCAGAAATGTGGTTTTGCTATCTTACCTTCGTTTACTTGCTTTAACATTATTTTGTCCTTTGGTATTACGTGTCCATAAGTAAATCTTGTCTTTTTCGAAGAAATACCCAGCACAGCCAAAAACTACTAAAATTACGCCAACACTAAATATCTTCACCAAAATGTTTCCCCTCTTTGGGGTATTTTTTTCCATGATTTAGTTCAAAATTTAGTTTAAAAATTTACGCTATAATTTGATAACAAATTCGTTTTATAAATAAAGGCGATCCCTTAGATTGACTTGCAATTTTTAAAATCCTTGTGAGTCCTGTTTATGTATTGGAGAGTTTTTTAGCCAGTTTTGGAGCGGGTGAAAAACAGTTAAGGGTCAAGAAGCAGAGTGAATCCACCTGTCAATAACCTGCGTCTGTCGTGCACTTCATCGAATCCACTTCCCGGCCTTTTCTTTATTTGCTTTTGGACTAATGTTCTATCAATATATGCCTTTAAAGAAGTGGCTGAAGAAATAATCCCGATGCCAATTATGAAACATCGCACTTGTACCGTGAAACAAAATCAAAGAAGTAGTAACTATTAGTTTTTATTTACTGACTATTTGTATCTAATAGTAGATGTCACTGAACCAGAACAATTCATGAAAACAAAAGGTAATACACAAGAGACTTAGAAGCTACAAAAGTTTATTTCATGTGAACACAATCTGTATCAAATAATTTCTTTTCAAACGTGCAAATTTATTTCTGGATATATACCTGGAAATTACAGACAAAAGTTGATATTAAGTTTTCAAGAAAATGTTTAGTTGTCAATTAATAGATCAAAGACGAGTGCGAGTGTTTCATCAGGGGATCCAAATACCGAGGAACTGTTATCTGTTTCGAGGTGTTTGGATTCCCCTGTTGAAATACGAAGCACGAGTTTTTGATCTGGCTTCTCAAACAAATTAATAATGAATGACTCATTAGCAATAAGAATTATGTTTAGAAAACAAGGGAATTTGCCGAATGATTTAATTCAATTCATTGTGAAATTTTCGTAAAYAAGACTGGCTTCAGCTGAACGAATTGAGTCAGTACACCATGTAAACACTGTAAAAAATTGCGCGCTTTAAAGGTTGAAAATTCGATGTATATATGATGTATAAGTGTCCAAAATGATGTAAATTTGATGTGAATGATTTCCATCAACTTTATATCATTTTAGACACTTACAATATATTTCCATCAAATTTACAACCTTTAAAGCGCACGATTTTTTCCAGTGAAAAGAGAGAACTGAAGAGAGTTGGAAGGAAATAGAGTCGATTTCGTATGAGTGGGAAACCGATGCTGACTCGATACAGCTACGATACAGCTACGGTACGGATTCATTCGGTCCTTTCTTAAGTTAATCGCAAGAAATCATGATAATCGCAACGAAAAAAGGCTAATTTTCCCAACAAAACATTTAAGTGGAATTGTTAAGCAAGCAGTAAAAAGACTTTAAGTTATGCTTGAAAATTACCCACTGAACATGTCACGCGTGAGTGCTTGAATACCCGAAAGTTTGACAAACTAAAAACTTTAAAATGAAATGAATTGCAAATATTCTCACTTCTTAAAAGTGCTCAAATAAATACAACTAGAAGCTAATTCAAATGGTTTATTTATTAAAAAAGATCATTTTATCAAGCTCGACATCAAGCTGACACCAAGACTACATTTTCTCTACAGATCGACCCTAGTGAGATCTGAAATGCCGAAATRATAGAGGAATATCTTTAAATATGCCAGTCATTTTATAAAATCTCTACTTACAAAACACTGATTCGAATTGACATTAATCCTTYAATCCTTTAAAGGCTTTTCTGATCGAATTTTGTCGGTCGAAAACTTCTTAAAATCTTTATCAACGGTAAAATCAATGTCAAGGCTTGGGCAGAGTGCTATTATTTGGGAATTTTAATCCACGGAAATGCGATTTCCAGCATTTTGAGAGCATCGAGAAGACATATGATGCATTAATTTTATTGAAATTTTGCGAAACTTAACAATGAAAAAAGGCATTTTTGATCGTGACAATCCAAAGTCAATAATAAATTTAGTAGCGTGAGATTGCTGAATCGTTGTTCAGACGTCTTACTGCTAAAACATGATCACGCTCGCACGAAGCGCTGGTTGCTGGATTGACTGCTAACAGCTTACATAGGGTCACCGCCTCACTAACTAAGCCTTTTTCTGCTTTGGATAGTTTCTTAACTGCGGAAAGAATGCAATCAAAATATTCAATAAAACTCTCGTCCTTCAGAATCTGAAGCAGTCTTTAACGTTTCCAGCTTGATGCCGTCATCACATACCTTAGTATAGTCGAGCTCTGATCATCTATTTTTTTTTATTCTTACTGATTTCATTTCTAATTAATTTTTCGGAAGCMAAAATTGGGGSCYCGCAGCCCCCCAGCTCCTCCGCGGTCCCTGCCAGAGTGTGTGGTAGCACATGCAAAGCGAAGGAATCGTCATCGGGGTCGTGTCATTTTTGGTGCCTGCATTCAGCGGTATTCCAAACCAAACACCCACAAAGAGTCGGTGTCAAGTGACCGGCAAATGCCAGGGGTATCTCTGTCCGCCATTTTGAAAAAAAAAAAATGCAACAGAGAAGCCCTTGGAACAAGGGTCACCTACATGCAAAACATGTGCAAACAAAGGAATATCAGCTAACAGTTATCTTGTTAATATCAGTTATCTAAATAAACCCGAAATTCTCAGTTAACAGTTATTATTTTTAGCCGTTTCTCAGTTAACAGTTAACCCCATTCAGACCCTGTTCTTATGACTAGAGACAAAGCGTTAAAAAGAAAGTAAACTGACAACTAATATTGTCAGGAGAAAACAAAAATTCAACAGCTAAAACGGCGAGTGATGAAAAGCTACTCGATGAATTTCCGAGAGAAAAAMAAGTCTTAAGCAAAGAAATCCACCAGTTCCAAGAGACCGAACGAGGCTGAACGAATCGAATACATCTCTGTCATCTCTGCGACTTCATTATGATTTTGAAGCCTAAAGACAAGAAATTTTCTGAACCAGCAGGTCCTTAAGTTTTATTTTCAAGTTTTAWTAGACATCTAAAAGAGTTAATGCAAATATTCCACTAGTATAATTCCCAAAAGACCACAGCGAAAACTATGTCTGAGACGCTCCAGCACGACTTCGATGTTTGCAACTGAAATTCCCGCGCTTGTCAAATCAACCACCGTCGCCAGCAGAACTGTTCARAGAAGCTGTTTTATAATATGGGAAATTTCTCAGTATTAAATATAAGTCCTAGATGTACTTCATCTTCAACGTAAGTATCGAAAATAGAACACTATTATATGAATAAAGCGCGTATAAAAGTTGATTCGCGACTTGAATATAAGTTCTTTAAGAATATGGAAAACAGTCTTCGCGATCGTTAAAARCCAATCCTTTWACTAGCTTAGAAGGTTTTTGTTTACCTTGACAACAGTCTTCGAAAAGCACCAGAATTCATCTTAGTATAGTAATTTAGAGTTTTCGACTTCATGTCGACAAAATACGGTCTATTTTTACGTCTGGTATGTATATCTAGACAGCGATCGTCAAAATCAATTCGAATGCTTATATCTTTAAATAACTTGGTGTTATTTGACTACAAACTATTCTTCGTTTGCAGGTTACGTCACAGCGGCCATCTTGGAGGAACTTTAAAAAAGGATTTCTCATTAGTATCTATTGTTCATTCCTCCAACATGGCCGCCGGTCTTTTATCTTTTGAATCTCATGGGAATGGTTGAAAACGATCAATAAAGTGAATACCGAGCTGAGTTGAAAAAACTCTGCAGAGTTCTTTTATTGTTTTATCTATCAGACCTGCTTTTGTTAGTTTGGTTTCAAGACTCATTAAAAGTGTTTACTTTGACCTAGATGTTGTTAGGCGTTTATTATTCGTCAATGAGAACTTTTTTTGCTATATAGTTCACCGCAGGGAACTAAAAAAAACTTCCGAACGACGGTCCTAGTCCGTCGTCTTAGACTCGTTTTTCCGAAACTACGCACCTGATTTATTATTCAAAACCACTTTGATCACTTAAAACAAAAGATCATTGTTCGATTTTTAACACCTCGAAATGGACGCCGAACAATAGGGGATTCTTTGATACGGACGGCGATAGAAAGCAAACACTTTCATTAAGGTTTGTAGGCTTGTTGAACTTTTCTCAATAATGTGCCTTTTCGTTATTTTTATCATAATGACAATTGACTATATACTAAGTTATAGATGTGATCTATTTATAATTATCCAATCGTTAGCTTATAGTTTGATCGCAAATTACTTCAAACGAGTTTGTACTACAAACCGTCATTAAAATGCACCAACCTCGTTCCCAGGGCCATCTCGGCCGATTCCTTTTCAAGATGGCGCCGTCGTCGGGGAGATGACCCTGGCGTTCGCTGAACTAAGCTGCTTTCTGATTGGCTATTCAAAATGCCTTTTCTTATATCACTCATTATTGGCTGTTTATGTTCGTCGGGATGTGTTCGGAGGTGTCGGTAAGTACGGATAACCGTTAGGTCTTTGATAGGTTATCGAGATGCCGTTTTTATTCAAATATATCCGAAGTTTAAGGTACGTTTTGTCGATTAAAAAGCAGCAATATTCTTTGAAATTCTT